GCAAAAAAAATTTGGAAGAGGTTGACAACGTCGTTCTATTAGAAGACAAAAATGACAACATTTTGGACAGTGCAAACTTAATCGATGATGGAATTGTAGGAGTAAACAGTGTCATTGTGCCCGAGGTGGGTATGAAGTTCAATGATGAAAAAGAAATGTTTAATTTTTACAAAAGATATGCGTACGACGTAGGATTTTCAATTAGGAAAAGAAATTCACAAAAGGATGATGACGTAGTTGTATGTAGTGTTGACATGCAGCCGTGAAGGCCGAAGAAGTAGTACTTCGCTGATGTTGATGTTGCGACCCCAATCTTCAACAATTGTTTTCTCTTATGCACTGACGCCCACGCACTGGCTGGTAGCACCTGGGCGCCAATTCGCTGCCTTAACCCATTTTTCTTTATTCACATGGCCTCTTTTTCTTTCTTTCCTTTGTATACTTCCAATCCTCTTTCATTCCAATTCACGGTCTTATCAAATTTGGCTCCATTTTAAGTTCAAAACTCGCCGTTTACACCAAGTCACCTAACTTATAAAACAACATGAACAAACATATCAAAACGTTCTAAAACTCTCAAAGACAAACAGAATACCAAGATGAAGTGGCATCAAAAGTATTGAGTGAAATACACTCATCATTCAATTTGATAGTAGGAAATGCAATGTCATACTATTATCCAAATGCACCTCACCAACGTGTAGGGGTGGCAAAAAAGCTTGGGCTAGACCCAGAAAAAGCCTCAGTCGGCCCTGCTCAGGCCGAGCCCTATTTTAGGGGGTCAACACGAGCCAGGCCCGTGGTTTCAGCCATTTTTTTTTAAAAAAAAATTAAATAAAAACAAGCAGCAAGACAATTATTTGAGCTACCTACACGAATAAATAAATAATAATAAAAAAATCGAGTCGGCTTGGCTCGGGCCAAGAAAAGCTCGACCTCTTTTTGGCTCGAGACGAGCCCGAGCTTCGAGTTTCGACTCGTTTCCATGACTACCAACGTGGCGGAAACATGTGATTTTAGATGAACAACATTGATGCAGTTATATTCTCATGGCAATAATAGAAGATCATTTGACAGTGGGAAATGCAAGTGTCAAATGTGAAGACCCAGATGAAGATTTGTATGCTTTATCTGAATGTTGTTCTCTGGTCATTCATCAGCAATAGCGTCGATTTTGTGAATTTTTGTGAACTCGGGATGATGTTGTATATGTGACAGCAATAACTCCCCTTTCTATATATCAATGTAGTTTATGAAATTATACACGCTCTCCTTTATTGTATATATGACAGCAGTAACTTCTCTTTCTATATATTAATGTGGTTTATGAAATTATGCATATCTTATTAGCGTATTTAGTTAGCATTGGTGTATTCAGTTAGCATCGGTACAGGGAAATCAGTGAACTGGAAACAATAAGATGTTTTCAATTACATTAACATTTCTGAGATAGAAGTAGTGAATGAAAATTACAGATTCTTCCCAAGCATGTATTACGCTAACATTCTTCACTTCACAAACTACACGACAGAACACATACTACACATCAAAAGTGGTAGGGAACCACACAGCCAACAACATAACTACTACTCATGTAGGCCATTTCCCTTTCTTATCCACTTCCGCACTTCCGTTGGCCTTGCGTATTGACGTGTTCAATGAAATCTCAATATTTTTTTCTTCAGCTATCCGACAAAAGGATTCGAACAAGAGAGAGAACTGTTGAACTTCTTCGACCAACACATGATCATTTGAGTTCATGGTAACGCTACTCGATCCGCCACTGGATTCTCCTTTGTCGACCTATTCCCAATATTTACAATTAGTACTACAGCAATTGAACATTCGACCCTTGTTCTTCGTGTCCTTCTCGACCTCAAAGCACTTCACAACGCCAATTTTACACCATAAGCATCGCCGTTTTTTCGAGCAGTCAGCAAACAAGTGACCTTTCTCTCGACAGCTATGACAAATTTCAGAGTTCTTTCCTGGCATACTGCACACGAATGAACCAGATATGATGCTACATTACAACACATCCACAGAGCACTGTAAAATCTTCAAAAATATGTATTATTCGAATAAATCAAAATCAAGTAAAATGGATACCAAATACATCATGCTTACATGATGTTTGCTGCGAAATTCTGTTGGAGTCGATGGATGGTGTCGGAGATTGAAGATGTTGCTGCACACGGTGGAGCTTCGATCTTACGGCTTCAAAAAAAATTACCAACCGTGCGATTAACCTACGGTGGGAAACCCAACGGTTGCTACATTAACCATCGACTTCTTATTCCGATTGAGAGATAGAAGAGTGTCGGAGTTCGAATGAGTTTTGCGCGCTTTATATAATGGGCCGGTTCAAGTTTGACCTATATTTGTTGATTTTGTTTTTTTTTTTTGGAATAATCAGGCATTTGACACGTCACCGTGTCAAGCACCATGTAAACCGACATGTACGAATAACGCGATCGCTGGGAAAAATAACGCTTAAACCCAATTAGAGGCCCAAATTAAGGCCCACTTTCTGAAAGGTCTACAAAAACCTACAAAAACCCTCAGCGGCTATGCCTCTATAAACACAATGGCATTTCAGTAATTAACCCTAATTTTTCGCTCTATATATTTATGTGAAGCTCAACAAAAAACCCTAATTTTTTCACACACACACACACACANATGATATGGCCACTGACGGAGCCTCCTTGCCACTTCCTGATGTGATGAAAGCGTTAATCCGCCCGGATATCGTGATATTTGTTCACGGTCAAATCTCCAAGAATGCTTGTCAGCCTGACGTTGTGTCCAAGCGCGCCGGACACAGACCTCGGCTGAGTCATGGGGCACTGGCCGTGCCGTGTCGCGTATCCCCCGTGTTCCCGGAGGTGGTACTTACCGTACCGGACATCGTACGTTTGGGAACATGTGTCGTGGAGGTCTTATGTTTGCTCCTACCAAGAAATGGCGTCGCGGCATAGGGCAGTGAATGTTTCACAGAAACGCCATGCTGTGGTTTTGCCTATTGCAGCAGCTGTTGTGCCTTCACTCGTAATTGCCTGTGGACATCGTATTGAGGAGGTTCTTGAGTTGCCTCTGGTTGTTTCTGATTCTACTGAGGCGCTGGAGAAAACAAACGCTACTATTAAAGTCCTTAAGCAAATTGGAGCTTATCCCGATGCTAAGAAGGCTAAGGATAGTCTTGGCATTCGTGCTGGAAAGGGTAAAATGTGCAACCGCCGCTACATTTCCAGGAAAGGCCCTCTGATTGTGTACGATACTGAGGGTGCAAAGCTACTGAAGGCATTCCGTAACATCACTGGTGTTGAGGTTGCTCATGTATCCCAACTTAATCTTCTTAAATTGGCTCCTGGAGGTCATCTTGGGAGGTTCATCATCTGGACCAAGTCCGCTTTTGAGAAATTGGACGAGATTTATGGAACTTTCGACAAACCATCTGAGAAGAAGAATGGATACGTGTTGCCGAGGGCCAAGATGGTAAATGCTGATCTGGCTAGGATCATTAACTCTGATGAAGTGCAGTCTATCGTGAAGCCAATCAAGAAGGAGATCAAGATGGCTCCATTGAAGAAGAACTCGCTGAAGACCCTGAATGTCATGCTGAAGCTTAACCCATATGCTAAGGCTGCAAGCAGGATGACACTCTTGGCTGAAGCACAGCGTGTTAAGGCTAAGCAGGAGAAGCTTGACAAGAAGAGAAAGCAAATCACCAAGGTACTGTTGTCTTTACTTTTTATTTAGGTATGGATATTACTGATTAGTTGTCAATTGAACATTCTTCTAATTATCTTCTGCTGCAATATTTAATTAGACCATGTTTATACTATTAATGATCAGACCCTTTTTTTAAAAAATTGTGCACACGTTCTCTGATTAGTCATCAGAAGATCTATTCCCGCAACATATATCTGTAAATAGTTCGAATATAGTTTTAGTAAAAGAATTTATTTTTAAGTTTTTCTCTTATTTGTAATAAGAGAATACTGCTACTAAGGAAACATTCTCACATGTACGAGTAAAAAAAACAAAGGTACAATCATCAAAGGCTAATTATGCTTAAATGAAGATACAACTGAAGATTGTACCTTATTGAAATTGAATTGCCTATTGACTGTTGATGCTGATATGATAGAAGATTGTGATTAATGACCCCAACAAAGGACCTTAAGGTACAATTATGCCGTGAACAGCCAACCATCTTACTGTAAAAAATTGGATAGATTCGATCTATGGTCTTTGGATTCATTCTTGATTTTCATTTTGTGTTGATATCATGAGATAGTTTCTGTACTATTTCAATTCACACTCTTAATTTCAGTTATCTTCATTATGAAATGTTGAATTCAAGTTTGAAAAATTATGTACACGATCATATTTGTAATATTATTTCGACACAGGAAAGTATTTTTCTTTTATATTTTTTTTTTCATGTATTTACAAAAAACCTTTGTTGTGTTGTAATGGTTCTGAATTTTGAACAATTTCTGATATTCTTTGTTTTGTTGTGCTGCTATGTCTTCTGTGGCATTGTACTGAAATTGAGAAAGATATCAAAATCTGGAGTTTCTTTTTGTATATTATTTGGACGATCCAATCTGCAAGGACCATGATTTAGAATTGTTTGATCGACTTTCTCTTGAAATAATCTCTTAAGTCCTGCCTCCATTTGTTTTCTGGTTGCTATCATTTGCAGGAAGAGGCTTCTGCAATTAAAGCCCCGAGTAAGTCATGGTACAAGACTATGATCTCAGATAGCGATTACACAGAATTTGAGAACTTCTCAAAGTGGGTGGGCATCTCCCAGTGATTTAACTGCGTTTGAAATCTCTTAGAATCTATTTTGTTTACTTTTGTTTTGTGATTTTGGATTTTAAGACATGAAGGTGGTCATATGGGAGGGGGAATTAGAGCAATAACCTCTCTTTATTTAAGTCGTCATATTTCCCTTCTTTATAATTTGGTGTATGAGTTTATGGCTAGTTTGAGAAATTTTGGTTAAGACGTGTTTAAAGGATTTTATAGAGTATCTTGTTATTGATGAATTGAATGTACTTCTGTGATCCAATTTTGGTTGTGGTGTCTGTGATATCTAGCATCTTTGACAGTTTTTGGGGACTCATGCCCTGAACATCTTCCGATTCTCCTCGCCAAAACTTGGTCAGATTATCTTGACAACCTATGGAGTTGATGGTTAACCTTGCACTTGAACCTCAGCTAACACAGATGACACTGGTACGAGAAGCAATAGAAAACTGCAAAAGTCACTCGGTTCTCTGCCATAGTTGAAGGTCTCAACTAGATTAGATAGTAATGAATAGCACATTCAGTTACATAGATAGTTATATATAGAAATAACTCTTTATCAACATCAAGAGTGAGTGTGTGAATTGTCCCAGCGTCAAGAGTAGAATGATATGATTCCCTTGCAAAGAGAGAACAGAATTAGATGTTTGGGATGCGACTATGCATGATACTTACTAGTCAATAGACCTCCAAAAAATTGGTCTGTTACCGTAACAGTTAAATACTGTCTTAGTGATGATAGGTTATTTAATGAATGTTTAATAGCTGTTTGAAACATTGATCATTCTATTTGATGACTGACCAACTTTGAGATGCAAATCTGTCTTTTTAATCCCCGGTTGACCCCTCTGATAAAACCTCAACTAATTGTTAATGTTTCTCTTCCTTTTGATTTAAGATGATCGCTTAAAAAGATGCTATATTTTTTAATCTGTGGATCATAGTTGTGGGATTTCGTATTTATCAAGAATTCTGTCAATTGTTTTAATAGGTTAACTAGGTCTCTAATGAAGTGGAAAATTCTCAATGGAGAAGATAGTGGCAAAAGAAAAAGTGCAGCAACCACCATGGGCAGAATATATAGATGGAGCCATACTTTCCTTCTCCACCCTCAAACAAACGTCCTGATAATCTATCTTATCACTTCTCCAACTCCAAGGCCCTCCCTGTTCAAAATTAGAACAAACACTTAGAACGAACCCATATTTTCAGGCGAAAAATTCATAAACTAGAGGTTAAGTTTCACTCATTTAAAATTTCAATTGTCAGATTTTTAAATTTTTTTTTATAAATTAATTAATAAAACATACATTTTATTAATTAAATATATTAAAGTCACAATTCTATATAATTTGATCACAAATTATAAATTAATTATCAAAATAAAAATTTTTATAGGTCACAAATTATTTCACAATCGCAAATCGAAAATTTTATCGGTCACAATTTTTTCATCGGTCACAAATTTATAAAATTAATAAGTCACATATTATTCATTGATCACAAATCACAAATTTTATATATCAAAATTTATTTTAACGTCACAATTCAAAATTTTGATAGGTCACAAATCACAAATATTATAAGTCGCAACATATTAAACTGTCCCAAAGTATCAAATTATTGGTTACAAATTAACAATTTTTTAGGTCACAATTTATCTTTTTCATTAGTCGAATATTGTTTATCGGTTAGAAATTAATCAATTTTATGGTCACAAACAATCAAATAATCTATGACCATCACCAACACTTGTGATTACCGTCTCACCATTGCCACCAACAACATGGCAACCGAAACCCCGTCGCCGAAACTACCACCACGACCTCCGGCAACAAACCATCATCTACAAAATACCGACATCACCACCACCACTAAAACCACAAAACCTCCACCACCACCCCACATCCTACAACCCAAAAAAATCCCTAGCCCTACCATCATCGTCGTCGCCGTCGCAACACATATCCACCACCCCCACTGCACACCGCACAGATCCACCACTACCACACACCACCACCCACAGCACACCACCACCACTATTTCTCTATCTCCATTTACACCACACCCAACCACCACCTCACCACAGATCCACGCCCACCCACTACATACCACCACTGCACACCGCACCACCCACAACACACCACCACCACCGCTATATTCTCTATTTCCATTTACACCACACCCAACCACCACCTCACCATATATCCACGCCCACTCCCACAACATACCACCACCGTACACTGCACTACCCACAGCACACCACCATCACCATTTACAAGCCACGCACGTCGCGTCGAAAGAAAATGGAGAAGGAGAGGAGGGAGAGGAAAGGGATAACAGTGGCAACACAGGTTCCACTTCAAGCTACGTGAATGTCGCGGCGCCGCACGACGATCGTGTGCAGTGGTGCTGCTGCTGATGCGAGACACCGTTACACCTATCGTGTGCAACTTACTGGTTTGCCGAAGACTGAGCCGGAGCAGCCTTTCTTTTTACTCGTTGAAGCCGCTGAGGGATAGAGAGGGAGAGAGAAGGAAGATGTGGGTAATGATTTGGTATTTTTAGGGTTTGGGTAGTATTAGATATTTGAATTAATATCCGATTTTTGTATAAATAAAGTTTATATCTGAAATTTGAAATTGAAATTTTAAAGTTCTGGTTTTGTGCAATTTCCACTATGGGAATTGCCAATAGGCCCAATATCCAAATTCTGAATGATATAATCCTTATTTATGAAAAGTTATTGGGTGATTTGTTTTTGGAGGAAATTACGTGGAATAGGATTTTTCAAATTTCAATTTCAAAAACTTGATTTAAAGTTTGTTTATATAAAAATTAGATGAAAATTCCATATTTTAATTTAATAATATTGTTATAAAAGTAAATTAATCTATATATCCCATCCCTACGTCATTTCACCTTACCAAAATTTTCAAACCCTAATCATTTTTTTTACATTCCCTCTCTATATTTCCATTCTCTCTTCTCTCTCTACTGTGCCACCGCCGGAGCACCGTCAACATTAGGCTCACGACACCTCCAGCCGATCAACATCTCTGATCTTCGTAGGTCTGATTTAATTTTCTACCATCGAGCCTTCGACTGTGGCGTCGCCATTGAAGTCGGAGGAAGGCGAGGTCAAGCAAAAACAGTTGACGGGAAAGAAGAAGGCTTGAGAAGCGGCTAGAGGTGGCTTGAGTAGCCCCAGCGGAAGCCGCCAAGCGTTTTGATTTTTAGATCTGATCTGAGCTCGACCGCACATAACCGTGGCGTTCTGGTTCTGCTGATGGCGTTTGTCAATCTGATTTGTTGGTATTTTTTCGGGTGACAATTTTGTTGAATCTTGTTGGTGGAAGTGGTGGCGATGGTTGTAGTGATGAGGTGGTGGTGGTGATAGTTTTGTTGGTGGTTAGGCGATGATTTTGTTGATTTTTGGGCGGCAATGTTAGATCTTGTTGGTGGCAGTAGTTTTGTTGGTGGCGGTTTTGAAGTTGAAAATGGTAGTTTGTTAGAGACGGCGATGGGTGATGGTGGCGCTAATGATGGTGATGAGGTAGAGCTGCTTTCGATTGGTGCCACAGTGGATTGGGGTTGGGTTGGGTGGAGTATGTAGTGGGAATGGGGATTAAGAGTATTTGTGATCAATTATTTGAGATTGTGATCAATAAATTGAACATTTTATAACAAAAAAATAACATGTGACAGTGAGAAATAAATAATGTGTGACCTAAAATTCTGAATTGTGACTTATAAAATTTGTGATATATGACCGTGATCTATAAAAATTTTTATCGCGATCGATGAATATATTGTGACTTATAATTTTTTGGTTTGTAATCGTGAAATAATTCATGACTTAAAAATTTTTTGATTTGTGACTGAAAAATAATTTGTCGTAAAATTGTATAGAATTATGACCTTCATATATTTAATTAATAAAATATATTTTTATTTCATAATTAAAATTTAATAATATATGATTTTTAAAATTTTAGAATTTTGAGGTGAGTCATATTTAGAGTTTGTTTGGGATAAATTAAAATCCAATTAAAATTAAAAATATAATCGCTATTGGGTCTCATTCGTCTAATAAAAATCAACAATAACGACTAATTTTTTAATTTTAATATCTACCAAACACACTCTTAGCACATGTTTGGGCCACATTATTTTTTTCATTCTCATTCTTCTACTTATTTTCAACCACACATTCTTCAATAAAATAATATTTTTCATCACATCAATACCTTTTCCTTTTTTTTAATTCAGATATTCTCCATCACATCACTTTAAANTTTCATCGGTCACAAATCGAAAATTTTATACGTCACAATTTATTTGTAGGTCACAAATCTATCAAAGTAATAAATCACATATTATTCATTGATCACAAATCACAAATTATATTAGAGTCACAATTCAAAATTTTTATATATCACAATTTGTTCGTTGGTCACAAATCAAAAATTGAAACGTCACAATTTATTTATAGATCACAAATCACAAATATTATAAGTTAATTTGTTAAACGATCACAAATTATCAATTTTTTAGGTCACACGTTATTTTTGTCACAATTTATCTTTTTTATTGATCGAATATTGTTTATTGGTCACGGATTAATCAATTTAATGGTCGCAAACGACTAAATAATATATGACCACCACCAACACCTGTGATTACCACCTCACCATTGCCACCAACATGGCAACCGAAAGCCCGTCACCGGAACCACCACCGCCTCCCGGCAACAAACAATCATCTAAAAATACCGAAAACACCATGACCACCACTACCCACCCACAACCACCGTCCTACACCCCCAAAAAAAATCCCCAACCCTACCATCATCGCCGCCATCGCTGACCACCATCAACACTGCCACCGCAATCACCACCAATCCACAAACACAACAATAGCCCATGTCACCACCATCTCTATCGCAACCACCGACGTACATAGCACCACTCACCCAACCACCACCACAACATACCACCACCGTACACCGCACCACCCACAGCACACCACCACCACCATTTACACAGCCCCACACATCGCGGCAGATAGAAAATGGAAAAGGGAAGGAGGAAGGGCAACGGCAACACAGTTGCACGAACGTTGCGGCATCGCACGACGATAGTGTGCAACGATGCTGCTACCGATGTGAGGCACCGATGCGCCGATCGTGTGCCCAAACTAGTTGAGGTCACCGAAGCCAAAGCAACATTTCTTTTATTTGTTGACGTTGGAGCCGCTGGAGAGAGAGAGAGAGAGAGAGAGAGAGAGAGAGAGAGAGAGAGACGTAGGTAATGATTTGGGATTTTTAGGATTTGGGTAGTATTAAAAATTTGAATTAATATTTGATTTTGTATAAATAAATTTTAGATATGATTTTTTAAATTGAATCTTTAAAATTCTGGTTGGATGTAATTTCCACTATTTTCAGTCATCTCCATTAAACCAAATGGATAAATCATGAGCATTAAACTACCACTACCCTCATCATTATCACCATCACCATCCACCGCTAGCCATTTCCATTAACTTCTCTCATTGGGTTTTACCGCCACCACCTCTAAACCTCCTTTACTTCGGATTCAAACCACCACCAACCCCTCCAACACCTTCCTCACCACAGCCACCAGCAAGAATAAGTTTTCCAATTCCTGAGAGCAAATACTCCTCACACTTCTTCAACAAAGGAAAACTGAAGAGGCCGGCTAGTTTACACACAATGTGCAGACCTCCCCTGTCCCAGATGCTTAAGTTGTTTGGTCTACAATTATGCTATCAAAATACCAACGTGGGACTCACCAGCAGGAGCAGTAGCTCCACCACCTAGATGCTAATTCCCTCAACCTCCTCGCGGTGGCAGTCGCTAATGGCAGGCACACTCTCTACACTACCTCCATTATCAAGTCCATACTTAAGTCAAGTATCTCTCCCATGTTAAGTCATGAACTGCTGTAGCGACCCTGTTCGATTCGTGACCAGAAGGATTTGTGGACTTGCGGATTCTGAGATGGTTAAGGACTCGAGGCTAGACACATGTGCTTACAATGATGTGCTCAATGCTTGTGCCAATCTTGGTGCACCAAGAATTTTCTGCAACTGTTTAACGAAATGCCAAAATTTGGATGTGAGCCAGATTCTTTGACATATAACGTCATGATCAAGCTATGTGCTAGAGTCGAAAGGAAAGATTTGCTCGTGTTTGTTTTGGATAGGATAATAGAAAAAGGGATACCTTTATGTATGACAACAATACATTCTCTTGTTGCAGCTTATGTCGGTTTGGTAATTTGGAGACTGCAGAGCAAATGATTTAGGCAATGAGCGAAAGGAAGAAAGACATTTGCAGGATTCTAAGGGAGTTGAATTTTGAAGACCGGTATGAAGATGGTGCATCTAGGAAATTGGGAAATGAAAGTGAAGTGTTTGAGAAATTACTTCCCAATTCGATTGATCCAAATAATAATGAACCTCCAGAGTTACCTGAAGGGATTGCACCTTACTCAAGAATTTACACAACCTTAACAAAAGGTTATATGAAAGTAGGACGGGGAGGCACTAAGAAAATAGAACTGGTCATCCAGACCATGTTATTTAGAGCTTGTTTGGAATGAATTAAAATTGAAAATAGTCATTATTGGATTTAACTCGTCTAATAAAAGTCAACAATAACGGCTAGTTTTTCAATTTGAATCCGATTTTAATCTCTACCGAACAAGCTCTTACATGACAATTATTTATGCATTCGTGAAGGCTGGATCTACGGACAAAGCACGACATGTGCTTGCTGAAATAGCCAGAATTCGTGTGCCTGCTAATTTGATTATTTATAATGTTACTCCTGAAAGGTTACTGTTAGCAATTGCAGATTGATAAGGCAGAGGAGTTGATCCAAGAGATGATTAGTGATGTAGGTAGGGGTGGGGAAAACCCGACTGAACCCACCAAAATCATCCAAACTGAACCAACCCGATCAGGTTGGGTCGATTTTTTTGTTGTTTTTACATGGATTGGGTGGGTTGGCTGTGTTGGTGAGTCGGGTTAAGTTATGGGTTAACTCATGAAAATCGAATAAATCCGCCCAACCCAACCCAACCCAACCCAACCCAACCCAACCCAACCCGCCACTTAAAAAAATAAAAATAAAAGAAATAAAATGACTAGAAAAGTAAAAGAAACCTAAAAAGTATGAGTAAATAGTGTAAATGTAATTACCTTGGTGTATTTTAGAGGAGGAGCTTATTGTTCTTCTCACAAGAAAT